CAAAAACCTGATGACCATGTGCTTCACGTATTACTATGTCGGTAAGAGGCTCCAGCTGCCTGGCTGCTTTGTGGCTGGAGGAGAGGGGGCGTTGACACAACTTGGCATTGTAAAGCGTGTGCGGTGCAATCGAGAGGTGTGATTGCAACCCTGCACTCGAGCCAGCTTCTCTCCAGCCAGCTTGGGTACTAGTAGCAGTGAAGCCACAGGGTTGTGGACTTCAATGTGGGCTGTGCATGCCAGCTGGGGCCCGGGTGGCCTGTCCAGGCTGCCAGTCTATGCAGAAGCTACATCACTGTATCTCCAGTGCTTCTGGTCCCAAAGCAAGCTGGGGAGTGTCGGCCCTGCTGCCTGCCCCCTCCACTAGCAGGTCAGACGTGCCCTTGAAGCAGGATGGGGGTTGCTAGTTGAAGATGTGCGCTTATCCCGGGATTGCAACCGGGCCTAGTGTCACTCACCCCTGTGTCCAGCTCTGGTGCAACTACATGCCTTGGCTTCCACATATGCTGGAAATTAGCCCTCTCTATCTTTAAAGGCACCTAAAATCACCACCCCCAAATGATAATCCGCGTGGTGCAGAAATACAGGGGTCTGTCCTGAGCTCGGGGGCAGCTTGTCTCGGGGGCTGTTTGCATGGAGACTTGGTGACATTGTATAGGGAGAGGGTGAGGAGACATGAGAGGAGGTACATTGCAGGGTGAGATGTGGGTAGGGGGTTATCATATACCAGCTGCTCTACAAGACCTGTCCTTCTGCCCGTTCGTCTTCCTCGAGGGTCGAGTGTTGCCGTTTAGTTTTGACCAAAAGAAGTGAATGAAACAATCATGAAAGAATAGTAATAATGAAAAAATAATGGTATAAGACTGATACATATAAGAATGATATAAGGATAATGAAAGAAGTCAATTAGTGCTGTTTCGCTTTCACTTGCTTCGGGGTAAGAGCAGACCCACGGGCAGCAATTCCTGGGGGCAGCTGACACTTGGCTAATGTGTGTCCCTATTAATTCCCCAGAGTTTGGGCATCTGACAGTCTCACCTTACTGATTTAGTCCCTGCCTGGGTAAAAGCCTGGCCTGTCCGGGTACCATCACGTGGAGCAAGAGCTCGGGGATCCTGTCACTCAAACCCAGCCGTGTAGGGGAGGGCAGTGCCCCCTTGCCCTGGGGGGTCAGCTGAAGGCAGCTGCCTTGTCTCACAGGGAAAATGCACACGCTGCCCTCGGAGATGAAGGAGAAGCCCGTGGGGAGCATCGACTCGTACCTGAAGTCAGCCAACAGCTGGCTGGCCGAGAAGAAGGACATTGCGGAGAGGCTCCTCAAGAACACGTCGGCCAAGACCGAGAACGTGAAAGGCTTCTTCGGGGGGCTAGAGACCAAGTTCATGGGCCGGAAGAGCGAGTGAGTGTCCTCTCTGCTTGTGCTGGGGGTGGGAAGTGCCTGAGCCACGGGCTAGAGACAAACAGGATGGATGAGCGACCTGGCCATCGCTAGGGTGCATCTACACCATGTCCCCAGCACTTCTGGGGGGCTTCTTGCAAGCAACACCCCCCCTTTCCTGTTCTCCCACGCCAGCTGCGGTGTGGACATACCCCGTTGACCTTCCCCCCGGTGCGTGGAGCTGCACAGTCTCTGAAGACCTGTGTATTTGGGTCAGGAGCAGCAGATCTCAGGCTGCATGGCTGGCTGCAGTGGCTTGGTGGTCACAGCTCGTCCTTTCCAGCTCCTGCAGCCTATTAAAGAAAATAAAATGCTGCCTGGGCTCAGGCTGCCTGGCTGTGGTTGCTGTGGGGAGGTGTTGGGTGGAGGGAAGGGGACCACAACGGGACGGGGAGGTGTCCAGGTGAAGCCCCGTGGCACACCTTGGTCATTGCCAGTCAGCCGTCCCAGAAGGTGGGATCAAGGGGATGTGCCATTAACCCCTGCCTAGCCTTGAGCAAGCTCCCCGTGCCTCGGTTTCCCCATCCTGCCTAGTGGGTGTGAGGTACGTGCTTGCATCGTAATGAGAAGAGTGTGGTTGGGGAGCACGCAGAGACCTTCTGGTGGCTCTGGAGAGGGAAGCTTGTTCAGGCTGGCCGGGGTTTCCGCCTCCTGCACCGGGCTGATCGAGCTCTAGCCTGAGTATTTTGACAGCAAGTCAACCTCAAGCTCTCTCAGCCCGTGTGTCTCGGCCCTGCATCCCAGCAGCAGCTCTGGAGGAGCTGGGTTATTAAAAAAGAAATGATGCTCTCCCTTGCCATCATTGTTTGAAAGGGTCTTATTGCATGGGCAGACAGAGTTGGAGCTGGCTTTGATGGGGCATCCATCAATGGCAGAGAGAGAGGCTCTGACTGCTACGATCTTTGTGCTGCAGGGACATCGAGGACAAGCCCAAGGAGAAGCTGCAGAAGACAGGTGAGCATGGCAGGCTCCATAGCAAGAGCTTCTCTATAGGACCCCCAAGATCTGGGCTTAGAGGGGGTGGCTCGGCCATAGGGAGCAACGTGGCATCCCAGCGGTGGAGGTGGGAGGGGTGTCACAAACCAAGAGAAGCTTTGCCTTGGGGGCTCGGGAGCTGGGTGGGTGCCGAGTCTGCATGTGAAGCCAGGCACGTGACTGCGTGTTTCCCTGCAGTTTCCATGCAGAGCCCCGAGGACGAGGAGGAGAAGAAGGGAGAGAAGATCTACCTGTACATGCACCTGAAGCAGCAGCCCATCTGGTAAGCACCGGCGCCCCGTCTTCAGCTGCGGCTGCGAGGAGCTAGCTGTGCCCTGGCTTCCTGGGCTCGTGTCGCTCCTCTCGGAGACGTAGTCTTTGGGGGGCTCTGCACCTGCACGTGCAGATGCTCCCCAAGCCATTCCTCCCCCGGTCTCCAGTGCCGTCTCCTTGCCCCGCAGGCACACCCTGAGGTTTTGGAACGCGGCTTTCTTCGACGCCGTCCACTGCGAGAGGAGGAAGAGGTCTCCAACCACCAGGTAAGATGCTAGCGCTATGTCCTGCCTGGCCCTGGCAAGGGCTGGTGCAGGGGTGGTGGGCGGACGTCCTCCCCTGCCTCCCCCGAAGGGTGACTGCTGCAGCCCAGCTCTTTGACTCTGCTGCCTGCAGAAGAAGTCCCTTCCCACAGGTAACACAAGGGCTCACCATGCCCCCTCTGCCTGGGACCTGGGTGGGGAGTCCAATTCCCCATCCTTCCTCCTGGAAGTGCCTGGCACGGAGATTAGAAGCTGTCGTGAGCTTGTGGCAGGTAATTACTGAGCTGGCTCTTCCTGGGACAGGAGCTGGGGGTTAGGCTTGTTGGTGACAGCAGCAATGGGTGCCATCTAAGCCAGCAGGTCACCCATCGAGGGTCACGGTGTGGCAGGCTGGCAGGGTCCCTTGGTGGGTTGTGAAGACAGCATCCTCTGGGGACACAGAAATCCCACGTGTCCAAACCAAACTAGCTGGAAACTTTATACTTCTGTGTCAAGACCCCAGTCCTCCAGCCGGTTTTTTTCCTGCTGCTCTCGCCTGGATAAAGCTACATCGCTGACTGCAGGGGAAAGCAATGCCAAATTATTCCAGGTAGCAATATCTGGAATAACACCCCCTAGGCTGAGTGGTGGTAGGGTGCCAGAGGAAAGCACACGTGGTCTGAGCACATGGACCTAGATCCTGTTAAAGAATTTAGAGGCGTAAATGGCTCCGAGGGGACGCAGTATATCTGGGCTCTGGCCAGGGTTTGCTCTTGTATTTTAAAGCAAAAGTTACACTAGCACAGATGTGGGACAGACTGGGGAACCAGGGAAGGAAGCTGACCAGGAACAGGAGTGCAAATGACTGTTTTTGTTACTAAATTCAGTGTCGAAAGCAGCAGCTTAGCTACAGGGAGGAGTAGGTCCAGGTTTTTGTGTTCTCCCGGGGCACTGACGTGTGGCCTGCAGCAGGGAGCAGGCGGGGAGCACGTGCTTAAAAAGAACATGTATTGTTTTCTACCCGACAATGTTTCTTTAAGAAAGGTAGCACAGTGCTAGGCCGGGGCTTGGAAGATTCAGCTGAGTTTCTCCCACGTGTGGACTCGCTGGGTGACCCCAGCAGGTCACATCTCTCCTGTGGCCTCAGTGTTGATGCCTGTGAAATGGGGACATCAGTGCTTCTCCACATTTGCAAATGCTTTGAGGCTTTGACAACCACCTGGCATGCCTAAGCATTGCAATGCAGCATTCACCTCTGAGCAGTCGTCCTCATTTCACCCGGAGTGGAGAAAGCAGCCTGGTGGACTGATGACGGCTGGCATGTTTCCATCACCTCGCGTGTGCTGACAGAAGCACCTATCGAAGCGCCGTGCCACGTGCCTTTGCATCGACTAGGTATAAAATTAGCAGGCGCGAGTGTTTGGCAAGGACAGATGCCTTTCACAGCTGTTCCCAGCTGCGATGCCATTCCCAATTAACCTGATGGCTGATTTCCGTGCTCTACGACAAGACGTTATCACCAAGAAGTGCTAGGGAGCCCCAAGATCACCGCAGTGTCGGGACAGGCTCCAGTACCCTGCCTGTCTCTCCCGGGAAGGCAAGAGGCCAGCTCCTGATCATGAATGGGGATGAGACTCGACAGAGAGCAGCAGCAAGCACAGCAGGTGGAGCAGGTGTTGGGGTGTAGCGTTGGCAAGCGTTGCAGCTGGGTCTGCCGCAGCTTTTATGAAACGCTTGGTACAGGTGGTCAGAGGGGCAACGAGAGCTGGCACAAGCTTTCAAGATTCCCTACCCCATTTCCTGGGGGAAGAAATGGGACTGGAAGATGCACGGCAGTGCTGCATGGTAGCGACTGGCACAGGCAAGACTCCAGCGACTGCATCCACACTTGGTGTCTGCAAGGGCCAGAGTAACACACAGCTCCTTGAGCAGCGGGGTGCATAGTGCACCTCGCTGCGACAGCAATCATGAAGCTCCCAGGAGCCGGGGGGCTTTCCGGCAGGCTTCTGGCAGCAGTGTCGTGGCGTAAAGCTGAGCCAGGTGGGCTGGGAATCCTGCCCTCACTCAGCACCTAATGACGTACGGGTGGCTTGGTTTGTGCTGCTGTGTGGTCCCTAGACGCCTCGTCTCCCCTCCTGCTTCAGCTGCCCCCAGGTGTTTGTGGGGGAATGGGTGTCACAAATTGCCCTGCCCAGGAGTTTTGCACCGTAGCTCTTTCTGCAATCCCTAAACCTCAAACTGGGCTGGTTCCTGCTGCAGCCTGGTAGCATTTGGATAGCACTCGCCTCCCACCAGCCACCCCCATCTCTGCTGGAAGGTCGTGGCAGCTCTAGCCGGGGCTGGAGCAGCTGCTTGGGGAACTACGGGGGAGATGCAAATGTAGGGGAAATGGCCAACAGCAAGGCAAGAAAGATGGCGATGTGATGGACCAAAACGACCTTGCTTGGCCTGGGCTCGCAGCTGGAAAAAAGGGCTTCCCTGCTAACGTGGCAGTCGGGAGTTAGGCGCTGACGTCCTCGGGTGCAGACCTCAGTGGGAGTTGCATTTGTTGAACCCGAGGAGACACTCGGCAGTCGCTCCTGTTTGCAGACAGAAGCCGCCGGAGACCGGAGCGAATCCCGAGCCTCAACCTCTCTAGGACGAGCCTTGACTGCTGTGCGCAAACATCCGTCATTTATCCTAAGAGTCCCTCATTAATCCCCCTCCGCCCCAGAGGATTGTCCTCGTTAACCCAGTCACCTCCTAGGAGGGCCAGCGCTTCATCCTCTCGGCTTCCCTACAGCTCTGCTGAGCTCTGCTAAGGAAATATTAGCGAAAGGAAGGTTATACACTCCTGGGTATTACACACTTCTTGATTAGTACAGGACGCATTTAGTCTTGCCCCTGGTTTTTGTTACAGGCAGTTGTTTTGTCACTGAAAACCAAGTGAAGTCCTAGGCTGATCAGAGCAAATGGAAGAAGGGTCACGATTGTGAGAGAGATGAAAAAGTGGACTTGGGTGTTTCTGTGACATCAGGATGATCGAGTACTTGCCGGTCTACTAGGGATGAGCCTTGTTAATGAATAGACCCAGATAATCTCACCCAAGAGTTTTAGAAGAGCCGGCCAAGGGGGTCGCTGGCCTGCTGGTGTTTTTATTTTTAATATATTCTGGACTACAAGGGAAATTCAGAAGGATGAGACGAGTGCCAGTGTTACGAAAGGGCAAGGAAGGGGATGCATGTAAAAATAGGCCAGTCTGAAAGGCAGTCCCAGGCAGGAAGTTGCTATTGGGTTCACTTGAGAGAGAATGAAAAGAGACGGCTGTGATGTATCATTCAGCAGGGGAGAAAAACCCTCTTGTCAAACAAACCTGGTTTCCTTCTTGGAGTTGATGCATCTGGGGCGAGAGGGGCACAGCGCGGAGGCTGTGTAGGTGTTTGATTTAGCAAGTACGTACCAGTCCGATTTAAAGCTCAGCCTCCTGCAGTCGCGAAGCCTGCATGAAACAGGCTAATGACCAGCTGACAGCTCTCGAGGAAGGAGGTCTCAATGGGGGGGTCGTCCAGCGGGGGTGCTTGTTTGGCCTGTGGCCCCGCGTGCAGCTAGAAATCCCCTACAGGGAACCTTTCCATCCTGAGCGCCAGACACCCCCAGCAGCGGAGTGGGGCGTCTCTCTAGCACGCGCTGCACGTTATGTTGTCCCACTGCAGCGCCTTTCTCCGGGCACCGTGAGGCGCGCCGCTCCCCTCCAGCGCGGGCTGGGAGGCAGAGGCGAGGCGAGCTGGCGTCAGGGGTGCCAGCCCCTGTCTCCCAAGCTGGTGCTTGGAGGAAATGCCTCGCCTCGTGCCGTCTCGCAGTGCGGGAGGACTTGAGTGGGTGTGCTGCACGCCAAGCCAGTAACAGGGTCTGTGGGTGGGCTGGGCTGGGCTGTCCTCCCGAGGCCATTCATTTCCTTGGTGTCAGGCTAGGAAGGGCTCCAGGAGTCTGGGCAGAATTGGGCCCATGCTGAAGTCCTGCTTGAGGCAGACTCACGGTAGCTGGGGGCAGTTTGCCTGAGTTAGGACACTGGTCTCCCCCTCTGCATTCGATGGGAGGAGAGACGCCTTGAATCCTTCCCCGGGACTGTTCATCAAAGTGCCAGGGCCCCTCCGTCGCGGCGGTAGCAGAAATGCCAGGAGAGAAGCTGAGATTTGGGGGCGATCGTTCACGGTTGGGGAGGGGGAGCCTTTGATTTCCTCTCTGCCTCTAATGACTTTCTTTTCTTTCCTTCATCTCTTCTTCTCTTTTTTTTCTCTCCATCCATATATCTTGCATGATCTTTAACACGTAACCTTTGTTGGCCCTGTTTCTGCTGCCGCTCCAGAGGGAACGCTGGAGAGGAAGAGGAAAAGAGGTGTGTCTGTCCACATTACTTTGTCACATTGCTTTTTTGCTTTGTTTCGTTTTTTTGCACTAGCGCTGACTCGCTTTAGGTCCAAATCTTGCCCTTTCCCTAAAACACCATCGGGGCAGAGTGGGCTAGGCAAGGCCTTGTGCAATGGCGGCCCCTGAAGCTCCAGGACACATTGGTGTCAGTTAATCCTTAATAAATAGACGGGGTTGATTTTAAAGGGTACTTAATCACAGGAGGCAGCGTTGAGACCTCAGGAAGGAGCGAGGCACGTGATGGATGGGGCACAGGGTGATTTATTCTTCTGTTTTCCATCTTGCACGCTGACATCCATTTCAAGGGCAGTGTTTGGACGCAAAGGGAGTCTCCTAGAAGGGGAGGTGCCATCCTACCCCTTTTTCCTGTTCTTTTTTGTTTTTAAGCTTTCTTTTGCTAACGATGCTGTGAAACCGCGTTGCCCCACGCGTTGCTTTTCTCCCCCTCGTTTCCTTGTGCCCGCCAGGTGCCGACTAGAGCTGTCCGCGCCATGCTGGCTTTGTGCGTTCCCAGTGCTGCCCTTGGTTGAGATGTTTGGCTGATTTGAAATCCTGCCTCTTCCTTTCCGTAGGCTTGGTATGGTGGCCCACTTAAACAAAATGCAAAGGGGAATCATACAATCATAGAAAATAAGAGTTGGAAGGGACTTCAGGAGGTCACATCTAGTCCAACCCCCTGCTCCAAGTAGGACCATCCCAGCTAGGGTCTTAAAAACCTCCAGGGATGGAGAGTCCACCGCCTCTCTGGGTAAACTGTCCCAGTGCTTCGCTACCCCCCTAGTGAGAAAGTTTTCCCTAATATCCAACCTCAGCTTTTCTTGCTGCAATTTGAGACCATTGCTCCTTGTTCCTTGCTCCACCAAGAATGCAAGCTGGGGGGAACAGCTGGAGCTGGGGAAAGGACCTGCGATCTACATATGGATGTTAGATCTTTGATGTCTGATCTTGGAATGACTCATATAAGGGATGACCCAAAAATTACCCAAAAAGGAGGCTCTTTGGAGCCCTCAGAGAAGGTCTTAGAGGGAAAGTCCTTGTGGGCTTGACCTGGGCTAGATGTATGCGTCAAGACTGCTGCAATTTGGGCTGCAGGGCAAGGCCTGAGCTAAGTGGGACTGAAGTCAGGCCCAGTCTTTATATCAGGTCTGTGCAGGCACAAGGGTTCACTGCAGCCAGATGCTCAGCAATCCTTATAACCGCTCATCAGATTTGGGGTCCCCTGGAGCTCTATACAGTCCAATACCCGTAGCTTAGCTTATGGGTTTCTTTGCAGAGACCTCAATTTTGACAGCTTGTTTTGCAGTGCCTGGGTAACTCCTTCCCTGGTACCATTAAATCATACAGCAGCTAATTTAGTGTAATCATCGTTTGGTATGGATGAAGGCAATCATCCGTGGTGGTCGTTTTGGGGCAGCACAAAAATCAAAGTATTTCAGTAGCGCTACATCATTTTTCTTTTGCAAACACATTATCCTTGAATTAAAGCCCGGAAACCTTTTCAATTTTTCTTGGTCGCTTTGATCTTTCTCTGCTTCATCAGGCCTTTACAAAGCAGGAGAACCTAAATTGACTTCCTCTCTCTCTGGGCCCAGGAGATCTGCAAAGTGTTGCTTCTGGATTTGAAGGCACTTGAATTAGTTTCCCCACTTCTCCAGCTGTAGGATCGGGACATGCATTTTAACGGTTATAGTGAGTTTTGTCCACGCAGACTTTCCGCATCCATTATGCCTTTAAGCCTACCCCTCAGTTTTCCACTACAGCAATGCAACCCCTGCTGATTTAGGCACCTACACTGCCCGGTTTGCAGCATTTCCTCACAAGGTGACCCAATGGCCTGCTCATTTTGGGAAAGATTTTCAAGATTGAGCCCAGGCTAAGTGAGGTCTGAAGAAGCTGTGGCCAGGTGTCCTTTTTAGCACGAGCAGAAATTTGAATGAGCCGGGAAGAGTCTCATCCCGGGGTCCATCCTTTCCCCTGTGATGCAGCACCTCCGGTTCCCACGTCACACGTGCGCTAAGAGCTTGCTTTCCATCCCTGTCCTCCTCCTCCTTCTTCACTTTATTCCTTCTACCTGCTCCTTTCTCCGTCCCTTTCCTTCCTCCTTGCCTGGCTTGTAACCATCATCTGGCTTCGGGGAAGGGCTGGCTTGAGCCCTGGACACCAGCCTTCCCTTTCATAACTGTCTTTCACTCCCATTGGCATCCATTGAGTACGGCATGATGACCGCCTGCGGTGGTAGTTTTCCTGTCTGAGGGGGGAGACCCACAGCTCCCTGGTGCTAGTTTTGAGTCGCCTTTTCCATGCAGGATGGGACAGGGAGGGTCCAAAGTCAGGTAGTGCCAACCAGCACAATCCAATGGACCGATGCTCAGATTGGCCCGCACCTACTTCCTTGGCCAGGGACATAGCATAGACGTCCCCGGGATTGTGTGAATCAAGCTGTCTCTCTGCAAGAGGATGAGACGAGATGCTTTGGGGCCCTGTAGTCCTCGCGGAGAGAACAGCCTGTGTCTCGTTTCAAACCCAAGCTGTGCGATGATCACCAGCCTGGGAAGCTCACGTCTCCTTGCTTGCAGTGGTCCAATATAATGTGCCTTGCGGTCCAACTTGAGCCACAGAGCGCAGCCGATTAGCATGCTAACCCAGGCGCGGGCCTTGCCGTCATCGCTCTGCAGCCCCAGGAGAGACCGGCAGATCAAGGGCATCCCGCCTCGCTTCCTGAGGTTGAAGCTCTGTGTTTTTAAAGTTGATTTTTTTGGAGAAAGAGCCCAGCTCTCTGTGGACCCATCTCAACTGGGAAACTGTGCCGGTTGGAAAGCAGTTGAGAAGCGTGCCCCCAGCTGAACAGCTGCAAGGCGCTGGGTTTGTTTGGCCTGAGAGATTTTAATGGAGGGGGGGCGGGATGCTTTAGTCTTTGGGACTATGTTGGCGTTGCTGCTCCCAGCGGGTAAAGTCCATGCCCTTCCCAGCGCTGGTGGTGCTAACGGTCTCTCCTGGGCACAAGCCAGTATTTCCCCACCCTCGAGCCGGCAGCGTAGGGACTCCTTGTCAGGCAGGGCAAACACAGGCATGAGAGGGTCCTTGAGCACTTCAGGAAGGAGGGGTGAAGTCTGCCAGCTGCAGTCGCCGAAAGCAGGAGTGACCGCGGGTGCTCTGCACCTGAGATCCTCTCCTGGCTGCCCCCGAGGCCAGCACGGCGAGGGTATCCCGTCTCGTGGTGGGGTGGGAGGGCGGCGCGGTGGCTTCCCGGTACAAGACACGCTTGGACGTTTGCAGGGAGAAGTGGTGCCACATGACCCAGGAGGAGCGGGACGACAGCCTGCGGTTTAACGAGAACATCACTTTCGGGCAGCTGGGGTAAGGAGAAGGGGAGACATCGGGGGCCCCCCACCCCGACAGGAAGAAACCCATTGAGCCCTTTGTGCCCGGGACCCTGGGGGGAGGTGGAGAAGGCAAAGCGGGGTCTTTGCATCTTATTGCTAGCTGCATAGCAGCACTCTGCCCCATTTAGGTGGAGAGTCGTCATCATCCCACCATCATCCCTGCCACTGCCCTTTGGGGACAGACAGTGTGACGAGGGGGGAGGAGAGAAGTGCGGACTGTTTGGCCTGCCTGTGCCACACGCGTGTGTCTCTTCCCCCAGCACTTTCACTCACAACATGCTGGCGTTCGGCCTGACCAAGAAGCTCTGCAACGACTTCTTGAAGAAGCAGGCGGTGATCGGCAATCTGGACGAAGGTAGGGACAGGTCGGGAGGGACCGGGCGGGCTTCCTCTGCCCGAGTACGAGCGCCCTGAGAGGAGGGTGGGATGCGACTGGCGGGGGCGGTGGGAGAAGTCACCCAGGCTGCAGCAGAGCCTCGTTGGCCAAGGTCAAGAGCATGCGGCAGTCAAAAACCTCTCTTGGGTTCTGGTTGATTTGGGATATTTCACCCACTTTCTTCTGCTTCCCAGGGCAGGGGTGGACTCGGGCACTTGGTGAACATGAGCAGGCACTGTGCAGTGGCCAGGTGCCCAGTTGGCATGAATCTTCAGAGCTGCATTGGTATCTTGGGGGGTGTCACCAGCTGGTAGCTTGCTCCGGATGATTTCCCATGCAAAACTCATCTGGGGAGAGTTGCCTTCCCTTGCTTTCTGGGCCCTGGCTGGTTCAGTTTTGGGGCCCGCTGACCTGGGCACAGCCCCTGCCTGCTCCACTGCATCCTTGCGGCACGCCGAAGTCTCAGCACCGTGTCTCTTCCTCTCCCTTGCAGAGCAATACAAGCTGCTGAGTGACCACATCGAGCAGATGGCTACGGAGTAGCCTTGCGGTTGGTACCCAGGCTCCACAGCAAGGCAGAGAGGAGCGGCTGGCGCGAGGAGCCCTCCTCTGGGACCAGCCCGGGCTGCGGCCGGGCTCTTTACAAACCACTGCAATAAACCCGCATGATTGTCAGCAAACCTTCGAGCCGTGCCCTGCCACCCGTAGACGTAGCAGCGCCGACCAAACCCACCGTCTTCGGAGCCTCCTCCCCTCCAGAGCAGCTCCTTCCCATCTTCTCTGAGTATCGCGTGTGTCCAGAGTCGCCGCTGAAGATCCCCCGTGCATTTGTGTGCGCTCAGGGGAGGAGCCGTCTTGCTGTAGCCCCTTCTCCCGAGACGAGCCCCGGTCCTGCCCCTGCTGCTGAGAACTTCCCGGTGTTCCCCTGACGTGACCGCGTCCGTAGCAAGCCGTGCTTGAAGGGACTGCTGGCAGGCAGGGGCGAGTGTGTGCGTCTGAGCGCGCAGACGTGATGAGTGGGCAGTAATGTGGCATCACCAGCTGCTCGCTGCTTTTTAAGGCTGGCACCGAGCGGCTGATCCAGGTGGAAGCCAGGTCCCTTGCAACGGGCGGCAGAGCAGAGACCGAGGCATGCATGATCCTTTACAGAGTGGGTGGGTGGAAAGTTGGAGGCCGATGGCTGCATCAGGCTATTTGTGTTTGTAGGGCACCTTGGCAGATTAGCATCAGCTGAGCTACAAGCCGGAGATGAGAGCAATCAGTCCTGCCATCTGGATTGTCCCGCTGGCGCCCTAGTATGGCGGGCCGACACGTCTTGCTTTTTTCAGTGCGGCAAGGACTTTTAAAAAGAAATGGCTGGGGGTGGGGGGATTCTTTAGGGACGTAAATCTGAGGGCACTCGAGGAAGGGACCAGTTTTGGAGGTGCTGGAGCAAGTCTAGAGGCTGGGAGCTTCACTTGGCATCAAACCCTGTTGCAACAGGGCATCCATCTGTAGGAAGGCTGGCAGCCCTGGCGGCTGTTCCCTAGAAGACAGGAGAGGTGATCCAAGCCCCCCCCTGCAGCAGGAAGGTTTGTCACCCCAATCCTTCAGCAGGAGCGAGGTTCTCCTGGAAAACCTCTGTATTTTCTTTAGAGGGCCGAGCGTTTGCACCCAGGGGCCCAGGAGGTGAGTGTCGGGTCCTTGAGGGGCTCCTTGCTGCAGATAGCCAGGCCAGGAAGTGTACCAGAAAACCCTCATTGCTGCACATGTCCTTAGCTTTCATCTTCCCTGCTCACTATTGCTTCCAGCCACCAGTTTGCTGTGGATGCGCTTGGGCTTTGAAAACCCATTTCCGGGTGCAGCCAGCAAGCCGGGAGGGGGGGGAGCTTTCCCCCAGGCCTGCTGGCTTTGTGTGCCTCTTCCAGTCCTAGTCTTGTTTTTGCAAATCTAATCATCCCACACTCCTGCTCCCTGAGCCCTTCAGCATCAACCAGCTTCGGCAGCTAGCCAGAAAAGGCCCCACTGCGAATGCTCACTCGTGTCCCCTGCTTGAGTGACTCCAGTCTCTCTTGATGCTGCTCAATCAGTGCAGCAGGGCCCGCAGGCTTTGGTCTTTCTGAGGCACCAGCGGGTCTTGGAGGGCAAGGATGGCAAAGCCAGTTCTGCAGGGTGGTGCAGGGACTGGGAAAACAGGGCACGAGTTGCTTGGAGAAAGTGAAGCGCTCTCAGCATCGGGGCAAAACTGTTGCTGCGTCTCTTAATGCATTTGCGGGGGGGGGAGTCCCTCGTGTAGGCTGCATTAGCAGAGCAGCCCGCAGCTCCCTAGAAATGGAGGGAGCCGGAGCTGAGCAGACACCAGCTTTGAATCACTAAGATGACGTTCCCTGAGCTTTGCATAGACCTGCCGTGTAAGGAGGTGGCTGTCACGCACCCATTGAGTGTCTTCCTTTGTTTCGTGGCTGGAACGTATTTTGCTAGCCTTCCTTTAAGGGGGGGCTGCCTTCCCAAGGAGATGGGTGCGTGCATGCACCAGCTGCCAGTCGAAGGAGCAGAGTAGGGTATACTCAGCCCCCACACGTGCCAGGCTGGGAGGTGAGCAGCTTGGAGTTCGTTTGCTGTCCGGCTGGCTCAGCTTCTGCAGTCTGCTCCTCCGCTTGCCGCGCAGATGAGCAGGGGGGGTGAGCTGGTTCCTGAGCTGGAGGAGTTGCTTCTGAAACATCCTTGCTGTCTAGAAACAAGTCTTGAATGAATCTCTCTTGAGCACCGGGCGCCAGGGAGGCATGCAGGGCAGAAGCGAGAGAGAGGCATTCGACGGGAATCATCTCCCAGATCTCCCTGGGCATTTGCAAGTGTCTAAAGCCCCTTCTCATTAAAAAGGAAGAGAATTGAGCCCACCTCCCCACTGTCTGCCTCTACAGCTTAATTCAGCACCCGGTAGCTAATAACATCATCCCCGGAAGGGAGCTATCCTGGATCCATTGCTCCCCAGATTCTTTGTTAGCATCGGCTTGATCTCCGGCCCGCTGTCCTGGGATTGATTTCCCTCCTGTCCTTGAGAAGGAAACGGCTTGTAAATTTGCAGAAGAGGTGGATGTCAGATAAAATCCCAAGCCATTGATAAGAGCCAACGGCAGCGTGTTGGGAGAGGTGCCGTGCACTAGCCAAGCGCCCCTCGAGGGTGATGCCCTGCTCCTCTGAGGCGCCTGGAGGGGTTTGCAATTTGCAGCTGGCTTTTCCAGTTGGCTTTTTTTTAAGCTGGGGCTGTCTCAATTCCCCTGTTAGAACAAGCCGAGGAGTTTCTAGCTGTCGTGATGGTTCGGTGACTGCTTGAAACACGAGGGAGTTAAAAAAGGAGAGCAGTGGAGGCAAAACAGGTTGGGCTATTTCTAGGGACCCTCAGTTCATGACAGAGCCTGTATTGTAGGTAGAGTCCATGGCTTTTTCCTGGCAATAATTGTTTTGGACCCGGGAAGCTTTCAAAGGACAGTGTGCAGACACGTGTGCCGCCCTTCTAGCTGCCGGCTTTGTGGTCCCTGCTGCATCTGTCCTCTCTTGGCACATTGCACTGAGAAAAGGGACGTTAGACCCCCCCGGTATCTTGTGCAGCGCTGCGGGGATCTTCCACCTGGATTTTGCCACTTCCTCATAACAGTCTTTGCAGCGATGCCCTGGGTGATCTCCAGATGTGCTCCCAGCTGTGCCAGCAGCAGAGTGATGGTTGTGCCCTGCCTGGAGCAGTTGATTGCAGCCAAGCATTTAGAGAGGAAGGGGCGACTAGCACTATCCCAGTGATTAAAAAAAAAAAGGGAGCAGATAGGTTTTAGCATATTTAGGGGGGTTTAAGAGCAGCTGGCGACATGGAAACGGGCGCCTTGTAGCAAAACGCAGGAACCTCCGAGGTCGGTGCTGGACCTGCCCCTACGCAACACGCAGCGGGAGCCAACGCCGAGGCGACAAAGTTCAGCACGGAGAAGGGCAAAAGGCAGGCGGGATTGCCGCTTTGTCCGGTGCTGGGGCAGCCGTCGGATGGGATTTCCCCAAAACCTCCAAAGTCGCAACAGAAATTCAACTGCTGTCCACTGCTCTCGGCACGGGGACCTTGCCGTGTGCCCGAAGCTCGGTCTCTGCTCCGAAGTATCACCGTCCTTGCACCGTGGGTTTCTAGGGACGTTGGGACCACCCTGCCCCGTGCTGTCGGTGCTGTGCTGTAGCGTACGTGGCGTAGCCGTCTTTTAATGTAACCCCTTTGGCTTGTGGGTCCCGACGCCGTAGAACAGTGTTTCGTGTTAGCAGCCTCTCCGCATCTCCGACGTGCAAGTACGGTGTCCGGTTCTCCAGCGCGTGTTGGAAGAGAGAAAACAGCCAGCGATCTCAGACCTCTCTCAGGAAGCACCGTGTGAAACACCCTCCGCCACCGTGGGACAACCTCCTTGCAGTGCTGAGAAGCAGCAGCGTTTGGTGCTGGCAATCCAGCCAAGTTATGGGGTTTTTTTTTAACTTGTGAAAGCTGAAGG